TTACAGGATCCCTAATTCCCCCCACTCCCCCTTCCAGAACCGTTTCTCGCGCCCAGGATGAGGCGGGAGGGCTTCTCTCGCCCAGGATGAGGCAGGAGGGCTTCTCTCGCCCAGGATGAGGCGGGAGGGAGTGTCAGAATCTTACTGACTAAAACCCCCCGTTCCTTCTCCTGCTTCAAGAACCGGCTTCGGGAACCACTGTAAAGACATTTGTAGATTGATGGGCAGGGTTAGAGTGACCTTGACTCAAGTGAACCCACAAAACGACTGAACATTGAAACTGCCAAGAGTACCAAAATAAGTACCTAATTAGTCCTTTCAGTAGGTACTTGTTTTAATTCTCATTTTTATGAAATACTTTATAATATTTAGGAAAGAATCTTACTAATATTACGAGTTTGTGAGTGAAGTCACTGAAGGCCCAATGCTTTGCCCCCCCCCCCATCTCCAAATCCAAAAGGTAGGCCAACGCTCGTTACTCCTGTATCGGGTGTCCATGGACGGCGCTGATTGCTTACCATCAGGTAATCCGTCTGCTCGATTGACGCTGACGCTGTCCCTGAACTTTGACTCCTACAAATGTGTTAATGAGTATTTGAATTTCTTTTTTGGGACAAGCCCATCGCAACCTCCCAAAATCGCTTCAACTCTTCTAAGCCAGGATCTACAGTAGATACAACCATGAAAACACCGGAACACTGAAGTCCGGCGCTTCCCAGGGACATGTCTTGGATACCGCAACGAAATAAATCAGTAGATATTACCTGTTTGAGGAAAAGAAAAAACTCGATATGATGAGTATGTGAATGTGTGATTGTGTATTTGATATGGGAAAACAATCAATCAAAATGAAATCTGAAAAACTATCTATTCATTCTTTAGCGAATCATACAAAGTCTGTTTTAAAACTATACCTATTAGTTAAGTATCTACGACACGACAAAATCCATTCCATAATAAACAAACACAAAACTGAACTAATCCATGCTTCAAACGTAACATCATTAAACACTTTCGTTGTGGGCGGAGCGTAAAGCGTGCCAAACCACGCCTACATGCGCGGGCGCACAACCCCGCCACCATTAGGAACTTCTCTCAAAATAACATTCAGGTTGTCTAAGTACATAAAGTTTATGTATTTAATGTACTTTTATTTTTAATCTAGTTAAATTGAGGTCACATCTCTGGTCCTGTTTCTGTATCACCCACAGGAATCAGTAGACTGGAAGTTTATGGAGCTTCTTGCTCGCTATTCTCCATTCTCAATCTATAATTTGGAACGGCTATTCTATTTTGACGTTTCAAAGTAACTACCTATTTATGGTTTTGGTAGAATAAATGATTATGATTTCGACTTTGACTTTGAAGAAAATGGCTTCGGCTTGGCATTAAGTCCGCCATTGCAACAATTGTGTAAAATTATTTAGGGCTGATTTTTCAATAGTCCGGTCAGATAAATGTTATCTGAGGAATAAAATTGTTGCTGTCACTGTGTTATACAAATTTACTGACGCGACAGCAACATAATCATTCCCCAGATAACTTTATCTAACCATTGAAAAATCAGCCCACCGTGGTTCACCCATTGGTACCTACCTAAAAGGGACTATAAACTGGTAAAAACACAACAACTGTTTGTGGTACATTAATTGCCTTTTTCTTTAAGTAAATCATAAAATCACAAGAGAAAGCGAGTGTCAGACTCTTACTGACAAAAATCCACCCCGTTACCTTTCCATCTCCAGACTGGAGCCGCGCGGTACATTGAGCCTTTGACTACCGACAGAAAAATGTTGAAGGCAATCTGCCGTAGGACACCGGTGACCTCCATGACGGCCAACGTGTACCTAATGCGCTTGATCGCAACCTGTTGGAATGTCTTTGTAACCGCAAACATGAATGTATGTTTAAAGGCTCCGTAAATGCGTCTTGTCCACTTAAAATAAAACAATAAAAATGTGACAGCGAATTTCACTCTCTTGCCAATAGGAATTATGGGACAGCGAACTTCACCCTCTTGCCATTAGGAATTCGCTGTGTATTGTTTTATTTTCTACAAATAAAATGTTTAAATCTTTGCTTATAAGTACAAACAATTGTATGTTATTTCAACCACATCCTTTCACAACCCCGGCTGAACTTAGTATTTGAATGACCTTTTCTATGAGAGGAAAGTCTTCAAATGACTTTTTCTCGCCCTGGAGGGAGAGGGAGTACCAGATTTTTATTTTCTACTAGCTACTCTCGCGCGGCTTCACTCGCTGTTCAGCTCCATTTGATCGTAGCGTGATGTTTTATAGCTTAAAGCACCCAGGAACATTGTAGCTATCTATCAGTGAAAGAATTTTGGCAATCCGACCAGCGGTTCCAAAGATTACCCCCTACATACAAACTTACGCATTTTACCTCTTTATAATATTAGGATAGAAAAACCAGCCCATTTCTTCTCCTGCGCTAGGCCGAGGCTGCGCTACCTACCTTATTGCATTTGCCCCGCAACCCTGGCTTAACATGTATACGATAGGTACGCTAACCTTTTGTATCACCTTTACTTGGGAGTCTTTAGCTGCGCACCTCGGCCGTACAGAAAACCAGCTTTCTGTTTTGCAATGGGACGTTACCAGAGGCATCGTCTCCTTCCACTCACAAGCCCTAAATCTCCGAAACTCTAATCCCCAAAAGGCCGACTACAGACTCATAATTCCTCTAGTATTGTGCCTATTAGTATTAGTACTTTGTTAATAATCAAAACAAAACAATGTACACAAAGAATTACTGGAGTCTACTTCCTATTTCTAAGCAGGTGAACGCTCGCCCAGAACACGATAAAAGGACTGTTTATTTTGTACGCTAACGTCCTGAGGACAGTGTTGGTGGACAATGAGCGGCACCGATTGCTTACCATCAGATAATCCGTCTACTGTTTTGCCGACTAATACCTACATAAAAATATTCATATCAAATAAATCAAAATACCTAACACATTTTCTTTGTTTATTATTAGGTAAACATCATCATATAAGTGCCCACTGCTGAACAAAAGCCTCTTCTCATATGGAGAAGGTAAGAGCATTAATCACCACTCTTGCTCAATGCGGGTTGGCGATTTCAAACTTATAATTAGAAATTACAAGTCCAGGTTTCCTTACGATGTTTACCTTTACCATTAAGTAAACAAATCATGTTAATTATCTAAAAGTTGATAACGCCTCCTTTTAAGATCTAAACTTACTTTAAAACTTTCGCTTTTATAATATTGATAGTGAGGAGACAAACCAGAATATTGCTTAATAAAGTGTAGAGATCCAAGCTTCGGCACGAATGGGTCGGCTCGACCGGATTGATACCACGGCCCCACAAGAAACGGGCATGAAACAACCACAGCGTTGTGTTTCGCCTTGTGAGTGAGGTTACCAGAGGCCCAATGATGCCCTTCCCCGAAACCCTAATCTCCAAAATGCTGGCAACGCACTCGGAACTACTCTGGCGGTTGCGGGTTTCCGTAGTTTCATCTAGGCTTCATCTAGTTTTTCACATATAAATTGACGTGTAAAAGTGCCGTTTTATGGCCTATTTGCAAAAATAAATTCATTGTTTCATTGTTTCATAGCGGGCGCCGTTTTACTATCAGGTATACCATAAAAAAGCTACGTCAGGGGAGCCACACAGAGCGTTGAAAAGAGCGTTCCGTTTTAAACGTCGGCTTTGTGTAGCCGACGTTTAAAACGGAACGCTCTTTTCTTCAATGCTTTTCGTGTAATTTCAGTTCGGAAATACCAAGCGCAGCTCCTTCCAAAATTTTGCAGTGTATCAAAAAATAAACAACTCGGAAAGCTTGTAAAATTATTTTTATTCTCAAATATTGAGCATTTTTGGCACAACCTATCTATAGAAAAACATAGATTTTTATTTTTTACTTGTTTAAACTTAAATACAATAAAAATCACATCAATAAATACTATCTACGTAATCTAAGACTAACTATACTTACCTATAGTAAAATATGAAAATAAAATCGTGTCAGATATGTATCCTACACAATTTTATAACTAACTCCAAAACGGCTGGATAGTGTTACGTGATATTATTTTTTTTTATCACCTCCACTGTACACATTTATAATTTAAGATACGCTTAATATCATTTTGGATGTAAAAAAGTATTTGACTAAACTTTATTTTTCAAAAAATGTTATGATAAAATATATAAATTTTACCAAAGATTTTTTTAAGGTCAGCAAACGAACTGATGGCATTCCTGATGATAAGCAATCGCACACCCGCAAAACCAAAGGAGTTACGCGTGCGTTACCGGCCTTTTCGGATATTTAAGGATTGGCGAGGGAGGGGGGAGGGGAAGGATTGGCCAAATCCCTAAACCCCAAAAGATCGGCAACGCACTCGTAAATCCTCAGTCGTTGCGTGTGTTCAGGGGAGGCGCTAATTTCTGACCATCAGGTAATCCGTCTGCTCGTTTGCAGACTTATTACCTAAAAGAAAAAACTAACTTTTGACGCAGATATCTTCAATCGATTGAGCTATAATTTTTTAAACATGTTTAGTTTGCATGACTGTCCGAAATATCTAAAGAAAACATAAAAAATATCTAAAGTGGTAGGTCTCAGCACTTATTGTAGCACCAGAAATCATTTTTTTATAACATATTTAATTCATCAAACCCCAAGAGAACGCCGGTGTTCGCGCACCACGACTGAAAGGTTAACTACACCTTGTCTTAAACCTTTCGTTCGTCAAAACAATTTTTCACACACAAAATGAGTTAGTTAGTTTCTATTAACAATTTGGACTCTGTAGATGGCGCTTCACTCGATTTAGGCGTCATTATCTATTAAACAACTTAATTATTATTATTAATAGTTCTGTTTTAAAGTTTTTTTTCTTTGGATAATAGTATGTTTCGTTCTGTAGTTTTTGCCTATCATGGTGATAACCATATGTGTTTTTATTTGTGTGTAATAAACTCTAAAATAGTTGAGTTGATCAGGGCGTATCCTTGTTATTACTAGAAAGAGCTTGCACGATACATCTTAACCTAGCTAGGCTGTTTACACCACACGAACTTGTGTCATCTGAAAGAAAAAATCTTTGTTAATACCCTGAAATCTCACAGAAATAAAAGCCAAGAGTTTGAAAAATATAACGGGACGTCCATTATTAATACGTGATATGAATAAATGTCATCTAATCTCACGTTGGAGAGAGGTGGGATCTACATATTTGAGTATTTTCCTAGGTCAAAAATAAATTAATTCGACGTTTCAATACAATAAAACATTGAAAAATAACTATACTTTATTCACCGATCTATCGATATACAAAATTTTTGATATTTTTAGCAAATTTTTAAGAAAATTAAGTAAGCTATTTGACGTAAAAATACTATGACGTCATAACTCAGTATTTCATACAAATTTCATAGAAAGGTATCGTTTTTGACATTTGGATAAAAGTATTGAATTTGACTAGTTGGAAACTAGCATATTGGGGAAGGGAGGTACAGTACATAAAAAAATACCTAACGTAATTAATGGACGTCCTCTATGTATACATAAAAAAACTTACTGTTTAGGAAAGGTTTTTCTTTCTCTGTCTTCATATCTCTTGTTTCATATGTCCGTTGTGACGTCACGTGCGACTCCATATAGCTCTTGCAGCTTTCAGACTCCAACTGCAGTAAAAAAATAAACTTAAAAACTACTTTTTTATGCATTGAAATAATGTAGGTACCGCGGCCTGGAACAGGAGAAGGAACGGTAAGGTTTTCAGTCAGTAAGAGACACTCCCTCTCGCCTCATCCTAGATGAGTAACTTGATGACATTCCCTTCATAAAAAGATCCTGTTTATTATAAGGTGCTAAAGAAATGCATTTCCTTGCTTTTATTTTTCTTTCTATAGGCCACCATCACACAGTTTCAATAAATTGATATGTAGGTAAAACAGTGACAATTGCATCTGTAGTGTGTATGTTTGTAATTTTGTTTACATTACCACTGCTAGATCCTTTTTTTGTCAGGGGAAAATCATCAAATGACGTCTCCCGCCCAGGGTAACGCGAGAGAGTGTCAGACTCTTATTGACTAAACCCCCCGTTCCCTTCTCCTCCTATATGCCAAATTGCCATGTAGGTAAAACAGTGACACTTGCATCTGCAGTGTGTATGTTTGTAATTTTGTATACATTACCACTGCTAGATCCTTTTTTTGTCAGGGAAAAATCATCAAATAACGTCTCCCGCCCAGGGTAACTCGCCGTAAGCTCGGGTCTGGTGGTGGCAGCGAGCTACCCTTACTCGGCCTTTTCTACATCTAAGTGTGTAATCAATATATCTATGTATACAGAGAGTATAGAATATAACTTCAAACAAAAAAGTTGTTTCTACAATCTCTCCGGTATATACCGCATAATTAGACGTAGTTGTTCTTGTGATGGATCACCCTCAAAGTGACGCTTTTGAGGTTTAAAGTATATAAATGGTCTTTGCTCATTATTATTTTAGTTTGTGGTTTTGTTGATTTGGAAGTCGATGGAATCTAAGTGGATTGGATTCATTTCAAGCTATAAGTTGTTGACCAGTTTCAATCAAAACTAATATTATAAATGTGAAAGTAACTCTATCTGTCTTTTCTCCACGCCTAAACTACTGAACCTCAAGTAAATAGGTTCAGTGTGAAATTTGGCATAGACATAGTTTGGAACTCTAAAAAGGACAGAGTATAGTTGTTTAACCAAAAATCTGCAGGAAGCCACTATTCCACGCGAACAAAGTCGCGGGCAAAAGCTAGTTTCGTATAATTTATTTAGAGTGATCCAAACTGCTTGGATCGCTTTTGGGTAATTTAAAAAATCAATCATAAATTTTGGTCAGTACCCTAAATAAAAAAAGGTTTTATCTTATTTTAACATGGTGTTTTTACTAATGGCAAAAATCCACCTTAAAGATTGATTTGGCATATATTAAGCTCATTTTCGACCAAACTGTGGGTTGGTTCCTTTTTGCATAACTATGTCCGATTCTATTTCTCGCTCGCACCGCGTCGGCGATCCTGTCAAGTGTGTTTAACTGATTTGCGACGATACCAACTCCACGTGAGTTTAATTACTTGAGTGTTGAGCTATTAAAAGCTTAGAGATGTCGGGTTTTGATTAGAAGGGAGAGCTGTGCTTCGGCACGAATCGATCGGCTCGACCGGAATTATATCATGGCCTCAGAAAAGACCTCCGTGAAAGAATTATATGTGTTGTGTTTTCCTGTGTGACTGCAGTTATTGGAAGTCCATTTTAACCCCCAAAAAGCCGGAAAAAATTCATGTGACTCCTCTGGAGTTACAGTTACCCATAATACCAGTGGAGTTAAGAGTGCGTTGCCTGCTTTATGGGATTACTATTCTGGAGATTTAAGAATAAGGGAGGGATGGGGGAAGGGAAAGATTGAGCCTCCGGTACCTCACTTGGGTACATGGCGAATCTAAACGCTGTGTTGTTAAACGTCGGTTTTCTAGAAAGCCGTGGTATCACTCCGTTCGAGCCGACTCATTCGTGCTGAAGCTTAACTCTCCCACATTTAATTCATAAACGACAAGGTTATCCGCGAAAGAACACTAAGGGCAGATTTTTCAATAGTCAAATAAATGTTATCTGAGGAATAAAATTGTTGCTGTCACTGTCTTATACAAACATTCTGACGAGACAGCAACATAATTATTCCCCAGGTTACTTTCATCTAACCATTGATCAGTCTTAAAAATACTACGGTTGAATTAAGAAACGTTATCATTTGTTGAAGTCGATTAAAAATTTATCAAATTCGATCCACGTTCGTTAAATTTATACAACGGATTTTCTTTTTTTTTACTTATTCTTCTCCATACGAAACTATAGTATGGAACGACTAACGATAGCTGCAATAACTGACTTATCGTAAGTGTGTGGATTAGAAAAGAAATACTTTGAAAATAATCTGACTTCAAAAAAGACAGCTATTTTATTTGAGGTGGGAGAATCGTAAATGATCTTCAAAATGCAATTTTTAACTTTTATTAAGTTTTTTTAGGCCAATATTTAGCCGAAATTGCTTCACGGCCTTCTGTTATAAGGTACCGCGGCCCCAACCCCGGCCTGGGAAGGAACGGGGTGTATTTTAGTCAATAATAATAGTCTGAAACTCTCTCTCGCCTTATGATGACGCCCCCAAAAAAAGCCACGGAACAGACTTGGTCAATGCAAATAATGTAATCCACATTATAGCACATCGCCCGAGCTTAAAATACAACGTCGAACGAAAACCAACAAAAATAAAAAGCTTAGCAATTAAAATGATTAGCAATTTATAAGCGAAGATTTCTTGTGAATCTATTCCGAGCAGTGGCGCACGCGCACGTGTAGCTATAAATTATACGCGGACGCATATAAATGACAATTTAACATCGCAAAACATCTACACGGACCGACCGACTGCTGCATTTTATTTATATGTAAGTATAGATTGTAATAGCAATATTGTATGGACGAATAATAATTTTATCGTTTAGTAGCTTTTGCCCGCGACTCCGTTCGCTTGGAATAGTGACTTCCTGCAGATTTTTGGTATAAAAACTATCCTTTGTCCTTTCTCGAATTCCAAACTAAGTTTGTACCAAATTTCACAGAAAACGGTTCAGTAGTTTAGGCGTGAAGATAAGACAGACAGACAGAATTACTTTCACATTTATAATATTAGTTTGGATTTGCATTTTTCGCTTCCTCCAACGGTACTTGAATTTTGAACTGACTTTCCAAAAAGGAGGAAGTTCTTCGTTTAGTTAGACCGTGTCTTTTTTTACTTTCCTTATTACGATAATGCAAAGGTTTTTTTCTAGATTAGTATACCATTAATATAGTCTACATATCGTCGTGGTGGCCCGGAGGTTAAGGCGCCCGCTTCTCATGCATGAGGTGCGAGTTCGAAACCTGGCAAGTACCAATGTGACTTTTTCCGAATTATATGTACTTTCTATGATTATTTAGACACCACCACACTCCGCCTTGAGCAAGCGTGGTGATTATTGCTCAAACCTTCTCCGTGTGAGAAAAGGCCTTTGCTCAGCAGTGGGCACTTATAGGCTGATAATGATGATGATAATAGTCTACATAAAAAAATCCTTTAGGAATTGAAGTCAGTGTGGTACTCCACTTAGGAACTGATTTGAAACATGCTTTAACCATTGAAAAGCTGCCGGGTTTGCGGGGTAAGCGCAATGAGGCACCGCGACCTCGGCCCAGAGCAGGAGAAGGAACAGGGGGGTTTTTAGTCAGTAAAAGTCTGACACTCCCTCCGGCCCAGCCCTGGGCGGGAGAAGTCATTTGATGATTTTTCCCTCACAAAAAAAAAACCATTGAATAGCTACCAGGGAGGAAGGCATTGAGTGCCTTAAAAGTTTTGTGTCAATATTACTAGGATTATAACCTAATCAAATTGAATTCATGGTATGGTCGTAAACGGAAAGGTAATGTATACCTACCTAACTTATTAGATGTTATGCTAGAGCTTAAGAATATTTTAATTAACTGACTTTATAAGTCGTTTGATTGAACGGATGTTTGATGCACTCAAGACCATTGTAGCTATCAATCAGTTAAAGATTTTTGGCAATCCGACCAGCGGTTCCAAAGATTACCCCCTACATACAAACTTACAAATTACAAATTTTAGCTCTTCTTTATAATATAAGTATAGAAGTATGGATAAAAAATATTAAGTGAAAAACATCTCACCACGGCAGCAGCTCTCAGAGCAGCTTGCAGTCTCTCTATATGCTGTATTGCTGCTCGTAGAATCTCCAGCTTTGGCAGTCTTCCACTACCAGCTCGGGCTCTGATCCTCAACTCTTCGAATGCCGCATTTACCTGGAATGAGAAGTCCTGTTGCAGATGTGGTTCAAATTTGAGTTAGGGGAGCAATTGAGTAGATGGATCCCTGATGTTTAGGAATCGGCGCCACCGATACACAAGTGTGGAAAATCGACATACAAAACACCGTTTAGGTTGTGATTTGCTGTATGAGTGAGTTTACCGGAGGCCCAATCACTCTCACTCAACTCCAGTCGCCAAATACCCCAAACTTCAAATTCCTCAACCCTGAAACGCCAGCAATGCTCTTTTAACTTCTAGATGTAGCCTCTATCAGGAGATAAGTTTGCTCGTTTTTTTTATGTAAGTAATAGATCGGCAAACGAGCAGACGGATTACCTGATGGTAAGCAATCAGCGCCGCCCATGGACACCCGCAACGGAGGAGTTACGAGTGCGTTGCCGACCTCTTAGGCATTAGGGTTTTGGAGATTTAGGGATTGAGGAGGGATTGGGCAAGGGGAAGGATTGGGCCTCCGGTAACCTCACTCACACGGCGAAATACAACGCTGTGGTTGTTTCACGGTTTCTGCGAGGCTGTGTTATACATTATACTCCGGTGAAGCTTTCTGTATCCAACCTGAGACCGTTAAAAGTTCTTGGTTTAGTCGCCTACTCCAAAAAATCGTTGATGCAAAAATTTGATTCTTTGAAGAACAATTTAAAACAAAATTCAGTTATAAGTTACAAAACGTCTAAAAAACTACACAGATCTCCTATCTTTTAATCTATACTAATATTATAAAGAGGTAAAATTTGTAAGTTTGTATGTAGGGAGGTAATCTTTGGAACCGCTGGTCGGATTGCCAAAAATTCTTTGACTGATAGATAGCTACAATGTTCCTGAGTGCTATAGGCTATAAAACATCACGCTACGATCAAATGGAGCTGAGCAGCGGGTAAAACCGCGCGAGAGTAGCTAGTTTAAAATAAAAGCAAAAAGACTTCAAATATACCTTATGTCAGTCATTTACAATTATTCTGTAGTTCACTGTTTCCTATGCTGAACAACCATTAAAAACTTTGAAAGCATTATAATTTATTTTAGTGCTGCTATTAGTAAACCGCCAAATGGAGAGACGTCGTAAATAAACGCTAAGAACATACGCGAATTAGTTGATAAGGATCGGTACACATGTGCTATTTTTTTCTTTTCTTTTTTTTTGTCAGGGGAAACTCATCAAATGGCTTCTCCCGCCCAGGACCGGGCGGGAGGGAGTGTCAGACTCCTGCTGACTAAACACCACCCCGTTCCTTCTCCTGAACCCAACCCTGGCTGAACATCAGCCCTATAGGGCCCCGTCTGTGGTGGTCTATTGGCTCTTTGAGGCGCGCGCGGAACGCTACGCGCCGTACGCTTGGGTCTGGTTCTGGTCGGGCGGCGAGCTACCCTTACTCGCCGTCCGCAGACCCGGTACACATGTGCTATGGCTTTGTTTTTTTAAGAGGTAAAAAATTCTGTCTTCAATATCGTCCTGAGTGGGGGGCGAGAGGAAATGTCAGACTCTTACTGACTAAACACCACCGCGTTCCTTCTCCTGCTCCTGGCCGAGGCTGTGGTTCTTCATTGCGCTTGACCTCGGCTGTTTTCTTTATCTTTCTTCTTTCTATCCGTTTTAGCTACTGGCTTTTTTAACGACGGTTTAGCTAGCGGATTGCTTGATAAGCAAATAACCAAGAAGTAAGCAATCAGCGTTGCAATGGGGGTGTGCAAGTCCATCCACGCAACACCAAAGGAGGTATGAGTGCCTCGGCTTTCTGGGGATAAGGGTATCGGATATTTAAGGATTAGGAAGGGATGGGAGGAGGGGTAGAATTGGACTATTGGGTAGAGTGGACATTCAACCTTTTTTAAACTCTAAATATATAAAATGATTTGGACAAATCTGTAAAGACAGAAACATGCAAAGTACGAATCAGAATCCGCGTAGGGGTTTATCCAAAACCACATTTAACGTATGGGAGCCGAATATTCACATAAATAACGTGTTTTTTTATTGTAGCCGTTGTCAGTTAAGTATAGCAGCAATAATAAATCCATATAATATCATCTGTCCACCTTGCATGATATAGTTACATCTTGTGACGGCGAAAGGTACAGCTACAATAAAGCGACTCTAAGCCGAAGAGACAGCCGTCAGTCTGCACTAGGTTCAACACTAAAAATATCCCACGCCCGATAAACTCGAGAATATACGACATACATCTTAATTTCACATAAAAACAAATTTATTTAGCTCTAACGCGGCTCTATTTATTTTTAAAACATGAACGCCTCTGTCGCTGTTGTTACAAGCCTTAAATATTATCAAGCCGTCAAATAAATCTGTCAAACTTTATGTCACTTTGACGTTTTCGTGTATTTTTTTTCTTGTGTAGATAATGTTTGAACGGAATTATAAAGTGCCTATTGGAATGAACTGAAAGTTCTTTTTTATTATAATTTATTTTTATTAAATTGATCGTTTCTGTTTTGATGGATTTAGGTAGAGTTTTTTATGTTTTTTTTTTCTTATGGGTAATGGGTTATTTTAGCTTTGATCTAGATTGGTTATACGATTGTGTATCATGTTGATTTGAATTTCCTGGTTTGATTATTTTATATACCTACGGCTCTATGTAGATTTTTTCAGAACCCGCCTATTATTTTGTAATCTTCAGGAAGATGTTTGATTAATATTATAAGAAAGTATATTATATATATTTTAAGTTACTATGTCGAATTAGGTTATCTGTAATGGCAAAGTATTATGTGGAAATAAATATTTAAAAACACACCTTCTAACAAGAGAGACTTCTTCTACTAGAGACCGTAAGCGTGAGTAGGAGAACGGCGAGCAGGGTAGCTCGCCGCCCAACCAGAACCAGACCGCGTCGCATTCCACTCTCTTCTCAAATGCCATCAAACAGACCTCTGCAGTTAGGGTTGACTAGGTCGTCGTCCAACCGTGATTGCAGGTGTAAACATAGTCATCTCCCTAGACCTTGGCTAGAGCAGGTGTAAGTTTTGGTTTTTAGTCAGTAAGGTGCTACTTCTCACCTTACAAGAAGAAACTGGGTGGATTTGCACCTTTAAAGAAAACCGACCTACATGGAATCTTTCTTAGAAAAAGCCGAGCTTATTGTTTGAAAAAAATTAAGATGGCGCTAAGCTTAATTATACTCATTGCTAAGCTATCAGCTTGCTTCCTTTTATGTCCAAGTATAAAGTTAGGAAAATGCAACTAGCAAAACCTCTATCACATTTAACACACATGATCGTAATATATTATTTTTTAGTTTTAATGGCCGTGAAACAAAAATAACTTTAGATTTGTAGCAAGTTTAATTTTGTACAGAACTTATTAGATACGGCTCAGTGACAACAACCGACCCGGTACCACAGATAATATAAAAAGAGAATTCAAACTCTTTCGTATGTAGAGTAGAGTGTACCAAAAATAACGGATATTTATAATGACATATTTTGACAGTTATGACATATTGTTCCTTTTTAATGTTTGAATATTAGGCGGGTAGTTGCTTTTGTAGGTTATATTTGTCGTAACAAAATGACGTCATGCTAATGCGTGAAAAATATTCATTGATTTGTCAACATTTAATCCGAATTAATTTCACATCGAATTATAAGGTGTAACATTGTTTATGTAAAATCAAGGGAACTTTCGAGGCAAGCCCAACACAAGTATATGTATCTATTTATAACTTACTGGGATTATCTCAATTTTTGTTATACATGACACTGTATGAGTTACAATAAAAAATATTGACTACCTAGCTGGCGCAGTGATGGCTGGGCGATCAACTCAAGCAGAAAAAACTGCGTTTTTTTTAATTTAAATGTTATAAATTTCGCCAGTGTCATAGGCGCTTTTAAAAACATGCAATTTAACATACACATGACACATCACACCCAGACCCGGAATAACAATTTGTGGATCACACAAAGTTCCGTAAAGGCATCGAACCCGCGACACGTTGCGCAGCAGCCAGTTGCCCAGCGACTATGCCAACCGTGCAGTCTAAAAGATGCGCAAGGAATAACTAGATTAACTAAATGTAAAAGAAACTTGAACTGAGTAAAATTTTTGAGCTTCAATATAATCAGGCCGATGAAATAATGATTTTAAAGATCGAATCGCCATCTTTTCACAAATTCAATCTTTTAATACATTTACAAAATCTATATTTAGCTAACTTCACGCTATTGATTACACTTGACAGTTTCTTAAGAGCTTTAAAATGTCGCTTCATTTAATTGTATTTTAAGTGCGATTGATCCCAAGGGAGGGGCGTGTCACGACATATTAACGGCCCGGTGCGCGGGCGCACGTGTTAAATGACCCTTTTAATTTTAGGCGTAAGTTTTTATATTAATTAAGTTTAATTGTTTGTGAGGTTTCGGAGTGTGGAGTTGATTAGAATTTTTGTTTTGTGTACAATTTTTTTTATTTTATATGTCGACCTATTGTCTTCAAACGAGCAAACGGATTACCTGATGGTAAGCAATCAGCGCCTACGGTACCATGGACACCCGCAACGGAGGAGTTACGAGTGCGTTGCCGACCTTTTAGGGATTAGGGATTTGGAGATTTAGGGATTGGGGGTGTGGAAGGATTGGGCAAAAAAAAGTAAATCATAACGCTATCAGAGAACCGGCTTACATTATTTTATTTTAAATATTAAATGTCCTGTATTCTGACTGCGTTTGCAAAACACGATTGTTTCTACTACCTATTTTAAACTCCGTTTCACTGACACTTTGGGCCGCGACTTAAAAGATTAGTCAATTGATTGAAGCATACATACCATCTACTTACAAAACCCTTTTGGAAAATCTCGTATTAGGAGAACTTAATTCCTACATGTAAGATACAGTTTTAAAATTAAACTTGTTTAATCTCTACTCGCATGGGATGTAGTATAAATAAATACTGCGACATCGTCCGTTAGACACGTACTAGGGATTACTGGGTGTATCTATAACATGATATTTCG